AAGATTAATAGCGTTATTGTTTAATTAATTTTATTAATTCGATTCATAAGAAAGACTGTATTTTAAACGATGCTATTTCTCCTGATTTTATTTGTTTGTTTGTCATGATAATGCCAATCGAATATTTTTTAAATGATCTTTGGTCGATCGTTATACAATCGTAAAACGAAATGTTACTCGTATTCGATAAAAATAGCGGATATGTGATTTTAGATGAGAAAATAAGTCAAAAGTCCACGTCACTTAAGTCAGGTTGAATAGAATAACAAAGCTCATTGTAATACATTAAATATGTATATTATATACATATTTAAAACGTTTGAATTTTATAGGATTTTAAAATTAGTCGTCGAAGTTTATTCGTTAAAATGGATAGATAATCCCTAATTATAAATATCGATTTTGTTGTTACGAAATGTTTTAATGAGGAAATACCAATTAATACATATTTGTGAAACGAATCGTATTTTAAATCTTATTTATATTTAAAGTCAACTCATTTTAATAGCAATACTCGTCATTTATAAAATCTGACTTATAGACGATTTAGATTATAAGATTATATATTCCATTGGTATTGTTTCAGGGCTTTAAAGTAAACGTAGTGAAGTGTATAGATAGAAGACTATTTTTTATTGAAAATACAATCCCTCCTTAAAATGGAAGATAAGTCATTTTAAATTACTTGATTAAAATACTTGTTTAAGTATATAATAAGTTATGTTTCTATTTTATATCATATCAATTACGTTTTTCGTTAATAGTTAAATAGAAAAGAAAAAATTAGATAGTAATAATTGTACACAAAGTCCATCATCAAGTCTCCGGTGTATGTCTTTATAATGCATTTGTTATTGTTCCTGATTCTGCGATAATTTTTATATTTTTATATTAATTACGATTCTTTTTAAGAATCTTTAATCGTACAATCGTTAAATTTTAGGATATATATATATATATACACACAAATTGATTTGGTTTTTTTTATGAATATATAAGTTTCTTTTATTCCTATTAAATGAGATTCATAAGAAAGATGTATTATTTTTTTTTTTTTTTAGAACGAACCTCTTTTTCATTTTCTAATAACTTTTTCATCATATTTTACCGATTAATTTATTCATCTTAATACGATATTAATAATTTTAACAATTTCGTTGGTTCAAAATCAATTGTTAAATTAACCCCTTTGGAATATAATTTGAATAAACATCTCGTATAAAGGATAATGATATAATATTATTTTAAAAAAATTAAAATTGACAAAATCACGGTATAATTGTTATATGATAATCGACGATCGATAGGCACAGAAATATTGTAATAATAAAAAATTAGTGAAATCAAAATGAATAAAATTACTTAGAAATTTTACTTATGTAAAATTATTTTCAATATTCAATAGTAGATAGCCCGAAATAGATATTAGTAGAATTATTAGAATTTAATATTTTTCAATAGTCATGTACACTTTTCCTCGTATTTCAATTTTTTAAACTTAAATAATGCTCAATGAATAAATTTAGAGGAAATACAATGTCTTTCTGTATAATAAAGGGAAGAAGAAATTAGAAAGTAGTATAAGTTGCATAGATCTATTTATGAGTTAAACTGCGGTCGCTGTCTTGGTGTCGTGTAATTTTTCTTCCGATAAATAGTGATTTTAGTATTAATATTAGCGTTATATTAAATAAAATGTAAAAATTTATTGTAAAAGAAAAAAAAAAAAAAAAAAAACGTAAAAACGTTGACATTATCTATGATCTGAAAATCAAAAATAATTAAAAATTTAATATTGTTATGTAGGAATGTAAGATACACGGATATGATTTTTTATTCAACGATTCATGTTTTTTGTATATTTTATTCGAAATGAAAGCAATAAAATTGGTAAATGAAATTTTTAAATTAACAACTAAGACGTATAAATATATAATTACAACTATGCTACTTTATCCATAATAAAGTATTACAAAAATTTATACAATATCGATGAAATATAGTCAATTTTTTTTTCTTATCGTATTGTGTCTTCATGATCTTTGTACTCGTTTATATTTTTTTTTGAACGTTACATGACATATATATATATATATATATATATATATATATATATATATATATTA